CATATTTTTATATTACATTTAATTTTCATGTTTTTTTTAAACATTATTTTTTGTTACTTGTTCACTCGATTCGCATATTTGTATTGTATTTTAATTCATTACATTTACTCCATTTGCATTTTGTTTTAATTATTCATTCATTTTACACATTTTATCTTTTTATTTATTTGCCTGTTTTTATTTTTTACTTATGCACTCCATTTGCATGTACTTTTTTTTTTTTTTTTTAACGTTCACTCCATTTGTGTATTTTAATTTAAGTGTTCTTATTTTTTTGCTACTTATTCACTTTCATATTTTTCTTTATTTTACTGTATTACATTCATTTAAATTGCATATTTTTTTATTTTATTACTTATGCTCATCATTTGCACAATTTAATTTATCTCGTTGTATTCAGTTCTACATTTGCATATTTTTTTATTTAATTTGATTTTATTACATTCACTTCATTTGCACATTTTAAATTTTTTTTATTATTTGTTCACTTGATTAGCATTTTTTTCTTTTATTGGTTATTCACTCCATTTGCATATTTAATGTAATTATATTTTACTGCTTGTGCAATTTTTTATTTTTGTTTTCTAATAAATGACCCATTTTGCACTATTTTATTGAGGCTGCAGGCACTTCTGTACAGATGTAATGCCAGTAAAACACACTAAACTGAAAGTGCAGCAGAAAGAGAGTCTAGACAGATGAACAGACTGTGGCTGTAATAATGAACGTGACCTTGCGTCTGCAGCAGTTCCTCTGGTTCTTCAGGCTTTGGTTCTGTTCCAGATTGATTCCCTCACAGCTCGCCTCGTCTGACCTCTGACCCCGGCCGTTCGCTCTTAACAGCCTTACAGTCTGTCTCTGGCAGCTCTGTTCAAGCAGAACATTAGCACTGCTAAGCAGCAGTGAGGATGACGTGTGTGTTTGGCTGAAACGCCTTACTCTGATGCATATTGTACAATATTACCAAAGCACATTTTCCATCCTGGCTGCTTTATGCAATTTCTGACCATCAGTGTGTACAGGTTTATACATTAGTTTGTGTGGAAACAAAGTTGTTTACATGTTACCAGTGATGGCTGGTGAGGAAGAACTATGTACACTAGTTTTGATAAACATTTATGAGGATTGTGGCGTCATCTCTTTGAAAGAATCAACTTTTGAGGCACTTAGTAGCAAGTAATGTGCTAAGCTATTACTTGTTAAATCCATTCGCAAATTTTTATTTTATTTTATTACTTGCTAGCTCCATTTGTATACAGTATTTTTATTTTAGTCACCCAGGTTGCATAATTTTATTACATTCACTCTATTTGTGTTTTCAGATTTTGATTGTGTTTTATTGCATGCACTCCATTTGAATATTTTTTTAATTTATTGTTATTACTTGTTAACTTCATTTGCATATTTTTTTTTTGTTGTATTTCATTGCTTTTTCTCTCCATTGGCTTTAATTTTAGTCACATTTGATTACATTCATTCCATTTGCTTTTTTTTTTTAATTGTATTTTATTACTTGTTCACTCAGTGTTTATTTTATTTGATCACATTTACACCCTTTGCATATTTTTGTATTTTATTTTATTACTCGTTTATTTGCAATTTTTAAATTTGATTCCATTCAGTCCATTTGCATTTGTATTGTATTTTATTGCTTGTTCACTCTGTTTGTAACAATAAAAATATTCAATCACTTAATTTGTATATTTTCATGTTATTGTAAATTTTGTTATTCCTTGTTTGCGTATTTTTATTTTATTATTTGTTCTCTCCATTGGCATATTTTAAATCACTCCATTAATTTTAATCACTGCATTTGCATATATAATATATATATATCATTTTTTTTTTTACATTTTGACATCACTCCATTTGCATTTTCATATATTTATTTTTTTATTTGATCCTTTTTCACTCTTATTTTTATCTAGGCCGCACATCTGACAGCTAGTAGCAAGTAAACCTGATATTATATATGCATATTCGCAGACATATGCATATTCATGTGCATATTCATATTGCAGAATTTCAGACAAAAGTTGCATTTGCTGAATTCATTCTCTGTGTGTCTCACACACAAATGCAGTAAAAGATGACTGTCCAGAAGACTAAATGAACGACCATCCCATCTGCTGATCACAGCAGCACATTATCGCAGAGAAAAAACCGCTCGCTCAGCAGCTCTCGCCAGCCAGAGATCCATCTGAGAGAATGAAGATTAATGAAGTGTCAGCTGGAAAAAGAGTATACATTATTATTATTAAACCACACGCGCACACACACACACACACGGGTGATCAGACAGAACCAGATGATTCATTGGACAATAATCCACAAATTAAGGCTTTTGTAAATTTGTCCATTTGTCCTGCCTGTATAGATATGATATCCCACAATCCTCCAGTGTGTGGTTTGGTGGGCGGTGGAAAGAATAATAATGCTGTTTGATGGAGAGGTTGAAAAGTGTAGACTAATCCACAAATGTCAAATCACATTTTTTAACATATGACTTAATTTCTCCTGAAAATAACCATTGTAGTCCTTAAATATTTGCTTGGTTTAATCTAAAGCTCGCTTGAGTTTGTTCTAGATCATTAGATGTGACATTACCATTCCTTAGAAGTCGATCTGAGAGCAGTTTCCTCAGGAGGTGCAGAGAAACATGTTGCGCTCCGTCAAAAATAATATCACTCCTGTTATAATCAATAAAGCTGTCTGTTTTTTGTTTTTTTTTCACATTCTCCACAGAAATTTAATTTTGTTTTCCTGGTCTGTCTGAAATAGAATTGGTGTCTCATGTATACAATGCATTTTGCATTATATATACAACAAACAATACCTATTCTCTTAATCATCTATATCTCAAAGTCAGACTGAGTTTCTAACGTATGTATATGCAGTTATAGCAATACTAAAGCCATTTTTATACCACACATTTTAATTTGTAAATGTATAAAATTATTTACCAGTTTAAGTCTAGTTGTCTAATCTAATTCTCTTGATAGACATTGTATTTTCAATTATTTATTTTTTAGTACATTAAATTGATGTGTATGAGAAATGTTAATTTAATTTGAGCACTTTTAGTGCATCTCATTTCTATGATTAAAATGCGTTACTTCATATACTGTATATTAAATATAAAAATTTAGCTAGTTGCCAAGGCAACATTTCTTATTTTTGTTTAACTTGATGCACTAAAATAAACTAATGCAATCATGCAGGATACAAATGCACACTTAACAAGATCTCACAGCTGGATTAGACTAGTCTGCAAGGTTTGTGAAATTAAATGTTTATTAGACATTCAAATATTTGTTTAAATTATTTTAATACGTGTATGCTGAATGCTGACGGTAAACGAGAAAGTATAATGTTTGCATTTATGTTACTAATAATGTAAAAGCAATCAATATAATACTTTTTTGTATGCCTTTTAATTCCTTTGTTTATCAGTTCTATCTGATTATTAGACAGAACTGTTAAACGGCGACAGCAAACGATGAAGAGGGAGAATGTGAGTGCTGTGTGCTCAGGCTGCGCCTTTTTTTAGTGCCGACAAAATAAAAGTCCCGCCTCAACTACATCGTTCAATCTGAAAAAACTTATCGGCCGATGCCGATATTTGAAAAATGCCAACTATCAGCCGATATATCAACCTTGGCGATATATCGGTCGACCACTACTAAAAAACACCCAGAACACCTTGGAAAATGCGTTGCGATGCCTTGGCAACCATCTGGAATATTATAACAAACACATACTGTTGCAATACACTAAAAACCACACAGAACACCTTAACAACCACATAGCAACACCTTGGCAACCATCTGGAATATTATAACAAACATACTGTAGCAACACCCTAAAAACCACTCCGAACACCTTGACAACCACATAGCAACACCTTGGCAACCATCTGTAATATTATAACAAACACATACTGTTGCAACACACTAAAAACCACTCAGAACACCTTAACAACCACATAGCAACACCTTGGCAACCATCTAGAATATTATAACAAACATACTGTAGCAACACCCTAAAAACCACTCAGAACACCTTGACAACCACATAGCAACACCGTGGCAACCATCTGGAATAGTATAACAAACACATACTGTTGCAACACACTAAAAACCACTAAAAACCACTCAGAACACCTTAATAACCACATAGCAACACCTTGGCAGCCATCTGGAATATTATAACAAACACGTACTGTAGCAACACCCTAAAAACCACTCAGAACACCTTGACAACCACATAGCAACACCTTGGCAACCATCTGGAATATTATAACAAACACATACTGTAGCTACACCCTAAAAACCACTCAGAACACCTTAACAACCACATAGCAACACCTTAGCAACCATATGGAATATTACAACAAACATACTGTAGCAACACCCTAACAACCACATAGCAACACCTTGGCAACCATCTGGAATATTATAACAAACACATACTGTTGCAACACACTAAAAACCACTAAAAACCACTCAGAACACCTCAACAACCACATAGCAACACCTTGGCAGCCATCTGGAATATTATAACAAACACATACTGTAGCAACACCCTAAAAACCACTCAGAACACCTTGACAACCACATAGCAACACCTTGGCAACCAGCTGAAATATTATGACAAACACGTACTGTAGCAACACCCTAAAAACCACTCAGAACACCTTGACAACCACATAGCAACACCTTGGCAACCATCTGGAATATTATAACAAACACATACTGTAGCAACACCCTAAAAACCACTCAGAAAACCTTGACAACCACATAGCAACACCCTGGCAACCATCCAGAACATTTTAACAACCACATACCCTGTACTGTAGCAACATGCTAAAACCACACCGAACACCTTGGCAAATTGCATAGCAACACCTTGGTAACCACTAAGAGCAAGAGATTCGAAAACGGATTAAAATCTGACTGAATTCACAAGAGTGCACTAAAACAAACGTGTTTATGTTGCAGATACGCCAGTCTGTATTTCTGCTGTGCCACTGAGGACCAGGATAACGAACTGATCACACTGGAGATCATCCACCGCTACGTCGAGCTGCTCGACAAATACTTCGGCAGCGTAAGTCATGCGACAGAAAATAAATTGACATTACTAGTTGCTTCCAAAAACAAAAGCGATTGCAGATAACAGTGATTGATCTTCAAACTCAGGTCTGCGAGCTGGATATCATCTTTAACTTCGAGAAGGCGTATTTTATCCTGGACGAGTTCCTGCTGGGAGGCGAGGCTCAGGAGACGTCGAAGAAGAATGTCCTGAAAGCCATCGAGCAGGCGGATCTGCTGCAGGAGGTGAGGCGCCTGTGCTTCCTTAAAGCATTTCGGGGACAAAAACACTTTGTTGAGCAAGTTAGTTGAAGTTAATTAGTCAGTTGACATTTTTATATCTAGCTTCTATAGAATAATAACACATCAGTTTTAATGGGTCTCTTGCCATTCTTGCCAGTCTCTTGAATACTGAGGTTTATTACTGCCACAGCAACCGCTGGCGTACATCATCGTGTTTTTGGCCTCTCTTTGAATTGAATTGTAGAAATCCCTCAGGAGCTGCAGGTTCACAATGACTCATTGGTTATCGGTGCACACACATACACACATTCTGCTCTTGTGTGTGTATTACCCAGCCGGCCCGGCGCTTGCAAAACAAAACGCTCCTTTGTTCGTTACAGTGTAAAGCAACTGAGCTTTCACACACAATCTCTTCATCTTCATGGAGTCTTACAGACGCACAGATCTGCAGGATATCTGTCCTTACGCAGTGATTTCAGATTGAAGCTGAAGTGTGCCTTTTTTTAAGGTTACAGCGTTTTCTTGTATTCCATTTGAATGTGCAGAGTTGCTGTAAGTCTAATCTGAAGTCCAAACGACTGCCTAGTAACACTTTTGCAATCACCCAGAGCCCTAGCAACCGCATAGCAACACCAAAGGAACCACTCAGAGCACTCTATCAGTCACCTCAGAACTGCATAGCAACAACCTGGCAACCATCCAGAACACCTTGGCAAATGCATAGCAACGCCACAGTAACAAGGCGGAGAACTCTTAACATTTGCCTCAGAACCACATAGCAATATCCTGGCAACCATCCAGAACACTGTAGCAACCACATACTGCAGCAACACTCAAAAAAGTCTCAGGGCACCTTTGTAGCCACATAGCAATGCAACAGTAAACACTCAGAGAACTTTAACAGTCTCCTCACAACTGTGTGTCAACACCCTAGCAACCATTCAGAGAAATATAGCAACTAAATAGCAAAAAGCTAAAAAAACACTCAAAACACCTTGGCAATCACAGAGCAACAATCTGGCAAGCATCTAGAATACTGTATCAACTGCATATCAACACTAAAAAAACACTCTGAACAACCACATGGCAACAATTTGGCAACCGTCCAGTGCATTATAGCAACCACATACTGTGGCAACACACTAAAAGCCACTCAGATCGCCTTGGTAACCACAAAGCAGTGCCACAGTAACCACTAAGAGAACTCTTAACAGTCACCTCAGAACTGCATAGCATCACCCTAGCAACCATTCAGAGCATTATAGCAATAACATACTGTAGCAACAAGCTAAAGAAAACACTCAAAACACCTTAGCAATCACAGAACAACAACCTGGCAACCACTCATAATACTGTAGCAACCGCATAGGAACACTATAGGAACCACCCAGAACATTCTAACAGTCACCTCAGAACCGCATAGCAACACCCTAGCAACCATTCAAAGCATTATAGCAACAACATACTGTAGCAAAAAGCTAAAAAAACACTCAAAACACCTTGGCAATCACTCATAATACTGTAGCAACAGCATAGCAACACTATAGGAACGACACAGAACATTCTAACAGCCACCTCAGAACCGCATAGCAACACCCTAGCAACCATCCAGAGCATTATAGCAGCCACATACTTTTGTAGAAACATTCTAAAAAATGCTCAAAACACCTTGGCAATCGCATAGCAACACATTGGTAACCATCCAGAATATTTTAACAAATACATACTGTAGCAACACACTCAAAACCACACAGAACACCTTGGTAACTGCATAGCAAGAACTTGGCAACCATCCAGAACATTATAGCAACCACATACTGTAGCAACACACTCAAAACAACTTGACAACTGCACAGAAGCATCATATTTACCACTCAGAGAACTCCAACAGTTCCCTTTGAACCGCATAGCAACACCCTGGCAACCATTCAGAACCCTATAGCAACACACAGAAACACTCAGCGCATCTTGGTAGCCGCATAGCAATGGCTTATGACAGCCAGCCAGAACATTCTAGCAACCAGCCAGAACATCCTGGCAACTGCATAGAACACGATAGCAAGCAGATTGTCCTAGCAACCTCATAATAACAGCCTAGCAGCTAGCCAAAATGTCTTGCAACTGTCCAGGCTGCTTTAGCAACTGCATAGAACATGCTAAAAACGACTCAAGACCTTAGCAACTGCATAGCAGCACCGTGGCAACATAAATTGTGTTTGCAGTTCCGCTTGGTGCCTCTAGAGCAGTGTTTCCCAACTGGGGTGCCGTCTGTCGAGAGCAGGGGTGCCGTGTAAAAAATCCTGAAATGTTCAAAAAAGCATCTATTATATAATATCCATTTCTGATGTCGCCAATAATTAGAGATGCACCGAAATTCCGGCTGCCGAAAATTAGTTCACCGCTCAGGTTTCACTTTAACGTGGTGTGACGCTCTGTGTATTATCCGTTCTATGAAAAAAGCAGCTATTATATAATATCCATTTCTGATGTCGTCAATAATTAGAGATGAACTGAAATTCCGGCTGCCGAAAATTAGTTCACCGCTCAGGTTTCACTTTAACGTGGTGTGACGCTCTGTGTATTATCCGTTCTATGCGTGTGTGCTCCGCTCAGTCGCTCCACTCGTATACCGTTCATGCTCATCGGAACAGCAAAGTCCACTCAAAAATCGAGCCGACAGGAAACATCGATGTAGTACAGTATTGTTTCTGTCTGCAATAGCCCTACTGTGTTGTAACATGGTGTGGTATATGGGCAACTCTGGTAACGCTGCCCTCTCATTCATTGATCTGCTAACCGCTATGTTATGCTCGCGTGTTCTGATAATAATAGCTTTCTAGGACGAAACATTATTTGGATTATTGGTAAAAAAAAAAGTTAAATATCTTAACACTACTGTTAGATCTACCTGAAAATTTATTTCAATTTATTTCATTTGTAGGCCTGTCGTTATTTTTTATTTGTGCTATCATTATTAATTTCTTTATTTGTTCTTATTTTATTACTGACTGCTTACTTGTAATTTTTTATTCAATTCAAAGTTTGAAATCAAGCTATCTCGTGCTACTGCACCAAAATTACCCAGCTGTAACATAAAAAAAAACACTGAGTGAGCAAAAATGTGTGAGATAGCTAGTTATAATGGTAATTAAATAATGTTTACATATGTATAAAAGCCTACATTAAATCTGTCATATAAATTGGTCTCTTCATTAGAAATTAGCCTACTGATTGCCACCATTGATGGACACATTTTTTTAATAATATTAAAAATATCTGTATGACATTATATTCTGCAGTTCTTCCCTGTTGTACCGAATATCTACACTTTTCAAATTATCATATCGAAGTTAGAAATTCAAATATTGTGACAAAATTAATTTTGTAGGGTGCCACAAGTTTGTTAAAATTTCCAAAGGGTGCCGCGACTGAAAAAAGGTTGGGAAACACTGATCTAGAGGCTCAGAAATGACACACTTCAGCTTTAATTCAGGTGTGCTGATGTAGCGACATTTCCACACTGCATTTGATACCTGTCTTCTCTCTCTTGCTTTCTGTATCTTTCCTTCAAGGTCGGCCTCAACTGTTTTGATTTACAGAATCTAGATTTTCAGATCCGTTTGCTTCCAGGTATGATTTATGGATTATTGACGGTAGAGTCCGTAGCCATCAGTCTCCCTGTAGCTCTAGTCATTAATCTGATCCCATTGGAGCGTGATTTTATTCTACATGTCGTGAGCTTCAGGAGTGATGATCAAACCAAAACTAAACGAATCTGTTCTGGACAGGAAGTTGATGACATGTTGAATTTTTTTCAAATAAAAAGTCTAGTAACTATACAATAATTGAGTGAATCTCATGAAAACGGGCCACTTTTTAACACAAGATCAAAAAAAACAAACCAAAAAATAATATTTTACATGAAGAAAATTAGGAAATTAATAATGTCACATTATAAAATCTAAATGACCCCAAAATAGTCTTCTCTGTAATCTTCCCCCAAAATCAAAAGGAAACACAAAATAATATTTTATATAATATATCATTTATATTTTGATTAACAGTTTACCATAAGGTCTCATTTGTTAACATTAGTTAATGCATTAACTAACATGAACTAACAATGAATTTTGAATCTTTTTCAATGTTAGATAATAAAAATGTTGATGTTTATTCACAGTGCATTAACTAATGTTAACAGATACAACTTTACATTTTAATAATGTATTAGTAAGTTTTGAACTTAATATCAACTAACATTAATAACTGCTATATAATTATTGATCATGTTAACTAATATAGTTAATGTTAACAAATGAAACCTTATTGTGTAAAGTGTTACCACTAAAACAACTTGATCAATAGTGGTTAACAACGTTCTTGTTGCATTTTTGACCAAAAAATTTACACTTAAGCCAGTTGTTTTTTTTAACTAAAACACAAATTCCGTGTGTACATTTGTATCTGTACTTTTTTTTTTTCCTTAAATTTTTTTTTTTTTCCACATTTCACCTCAAAATGAAAAGGGGGAAAAAAGAGAAAACATATATTTTGTTTGAGTAAAGATTAACCTTTTTATTATTTAATTTTTGCATTGTGACATTATTAGCTTTCTTTATGTAAAATATGAATTCTTGTTTCATTTTATTTTGATTGAATATGTTTTGTGAGATTCACCCATTTAGTTACTAATGAAGCTAAGCAGTTTAGTTCCTGTATATCATCAGAAAAGTCTCCCTTGGATGAATGAATGATGTGATTGGCTGCTTTTTAAATTAAGGTTGATTTAGGCATTAGTTACAGACTAGAGGAAATAGAAACATTGACCATCGTTAAATCCAAGTTTGGGGAGCTTTGAAAGCAGAACGGAGCTGCGGTTTATCATCTCTGACTGCGATCCTGATAGATTTTGTCCCGAGGGCCAAATTACAAGCAGACAAAGGAGAACGAGAGAACAACGCTTTAGCAGCAAGACATGACCTAAATGTGCCGTTTACCCACGGAGCACTGCCAAAATGATTTAAGTACTTATGCATCTTTATATTGGCATCATGGTTCGAGTAACTGCAGGAATTTGTGCAAGAAATAAACAAAAGTGTATAAATAATACACAAAACCTTCATCAGTTTGAGCCTCAGGGGCTGCTGGGGTTTGTCCTTTATCTGCTGATTTGAGGTCAGATTTGTGTTTGATGTTTTAATGAATCTGGTTTGGTTTTAATGAGTTGTGTTAATGAGTGACTGTATTGTTATTACATAAATGAAAAGTCATCAGAAAAGGAGACATTTTTACGCATTAAACTAGTCAAATCACTTAATTATTGTGATTTAGCTAGTATTACTCTTTATTATCAGTGTTTAATGTGTGCAGCCTTTTGACCAACGAATTTACACTCAAGCCAGTTTTTTCCCTCTAAAATGTAATGCTTGAATTTATATCTTTGAGTTATTGCATCAAAAATATGACCCAACTCCAAAAGACACATGAAGTGGCACATTTATTTTTGTGTGTATTTTGTGGAAAAACTAAGTTAAGTAAAACTAAAACCATAAAAAAAAATATATATATATATATATATACACACACACACACATTTGTTTAATTTGATTTATTAAAATAACTAAAATTAAAAAGCAAAATAAAAATTAATACAAACTATATAGACATTTCAAAACAAAAACTAAAAAATTACAACAACACAAAAAAATTCTAAATAGCAAATCTTAAGCTTAAATTGAAAACTGTGTATATATATATATTTTTTTTTTATAAACTTCCTCTATCTATCTATCTATCTACCTATGTATTCTGTCCATCCATCCATCCATCCATCCATAGAATAATTGTGAATCTCATGAAATCGGGTCACATTTCAACACAAAGTCAAAAGAATGAACCCCAAAATTATATTTTAAATAATTAATACTAAAACTTTGACTTAAATTGAAAACTGAAAATATATTAAAAAATCTATTTCTAAGTAGAAATTTGAGCAAGATCTTGTAGGCCCCACATAAACTAACACGGGTTTAGCAGAAAAGGCTTAAAAGTGCATATTATTGGCTGGAAGTCACAATTTTCCGTGACCATGGGGCATGTTTGTATATTATAAATTAGCAATATCATGTTTTATTTTTTCACTCAATGTTGACGTGCTTATTTCCTGCGGCCAGTTGCATGAACTCAGCTTTTATGTTCGTCTTAACTAGTCCACCAGCTAGCAGTTGGGATAAAGGCTTATGTTGTTTTGACCAAGAACAAAATAAGATTACTGACTTGTAATTCTTCGTCTAAGCGGTTTATTCAACTGGAGTTTGTTTCTGAAGCACCGTATTTGCCTTCAGTCTGAGATGTAGTTCGGTTTTTAGTCTTTGTTCAGTCGCCGTAACCACATTCTCATTCAGTCGATCACAATCTTAATCCGATTCCAAGAGTTCCTGGCCTCCTGTGAAACGGATTTGGCGTCATTTTGTGGAATGGGGCTGTTTGATTGGCTGGTGTTTCTGTCCGTAGAGCCAGACTGAAGACTGGGGCGGTTTGGCCAATGAGGAGATCTTATAAGGGACTGGAGTCCCGCCCACCCTGTCAGCCTATTGGTAAATGGTGTGATTTGCCTGAGCTGAATTCTGATTGGGCATGACGAAGCTCTCGCTCGCTCTGATTGGAGGAGACGTGGTGACGTGAGGGGGGGAGGGGGCTGGTGTTTGAACTGCTAAACTCTTGACCTTTGACCTGGTCACAAGAGTCAGGCTGCATCCCGGTTCACAGGCTAATAGTATGTGAAAGCTGGTATTGGGACAAAGAAATAAAATTGTCTTAATATACAAAATTGTTTCACCAAAGTGAGCAACTCGGTGTTGCTCACCCGAGCACCGAGTTTAAAATTATTTTTCAAATAAACAAATATTATTTGAGGATGTTTTGCAATAAATGTTTTGGACTTGTTTTAGACTTCAGAATTTCACATTTCATTCAATGTGTTACTTGTCGTTTCTTTGTAATTATTGGCTTACTAGTGATTTTTGAGTGAAAATAGTTTCTACACCACTTTTTTTACTGTAGCATTAAAAATTAAATTATTTATTATAATTATTTGACAAATTATTAAATTATTTATTATTAGAATTAAATAATAATTCAGAGTTTGCAATAACTAATAATCCATTCTGAACTAATCCATCTTTTTAAAAACTGAAGCTTTTGCTTCAAAATAAAATAATTGAAAGCAAATCATAATTTGGCATATCGTGTACAAATAATATGAATAATAAATTGGGTTGCAGTTATTAGGTTGCATTAATTTATCATTGACATATTCAGCAAATGACTTCAAATATAATAATTAAATTTAATAAAAATATAAATGTAATTAAATATATAATATATAAATAAAATATATAATATATATATATTAATAATACATAATACAAAATCTTGAATTGTTTTTATTTAATATTTGTAATTTTATAATTTTTTTACTGTTCTTTCTTTTTTCTTTTTTTTTAAAATTTGTTTTTTTAAATACAAAACAATCTGAAATTGCTTTTCCAAGTGGAAAGTTGACAAAACACTGGTGGAAAAAAATCCAGTGCAGCATTAAGAATTAAATTATTGAATTAATTATTATAATTGTTGATTATTATAAATTATTTAATTAAATTATTTAAGAGTTAAATGATGAGCGTGCTACATAATTAAATAATGAGCATGTTACATAGTTTTATCATTGCATATTGTATTATATAAAATAGTATACAGTGTGTACTGCCATAACTAGTACACTTGTAATCCATTCGCTACTAATCCATACACTTAAAAACTGCAGTTTTGCTTCAAAATAATAGATTTGAAAGTGAATCCTAATCTGGCGTACTGTATATGAATAACATGAATAAAAGGCCAACTGGGTTGCAGCATCTGTCTTAAAGGGCCAGTATAGACATTTCTGTTACACCTTCACTTAATTGGTTTGCGTCATAATGACACATTCAGCAATTGTCTGCAATTGTTCTATGAATACATGCATGTAATGCAGATGTGTTGCATTTAAAAACACACACCCCGTCGCCACAATCAGACGCTCTTCCGTCGCCACAATCAGACGCTCTTAGTGTGTGTGTGTGTGTGTGTGTCGACCTCTGACATGATGCTCGATGGGAACTAACTGGCACTGGATGACTAGTAATGTTTTAACTGCATTTTCATGCCTGCATCAAGCCGTGTGTTGCTCTGTCAGTGCGGGAGCGGGAGGGATGTGATTATTTGTGTGTGTGTGTGTGTGAGCTGAGGATGAGACATGAGTGCCTTCCTTTTCATTTTGGGGCTTCGGTGCTGCATAAATATCCCACTGCATCAGAATAAATCACATTGTGCAGCGAGGGGTTTGTGATCTCTCTATCTCTGCGTCTGTCTCTCTCTTAAACATTAAATTTAAACATATTCACTTTTTATACAGTTGGGTACATCTCATGAAACCTTTCAACAGCAAATTATATATATATATATGCACACACAAAAATACAACTTATAATAATAAAAAAATAAAAAAATTGAATGTATCTGTTAAAATTTATAACTATAAATAAATATAAAAAATATAATAGCATTTTATAAGTATTTAATAATATATATAAAAATAAATGTTTACATTATTTATATAGTTATTTATAACTAATACATTTTTTATTGATTTATTTTGTAATACAGTATTTCTTTTGTTCTTTCAGAAGTGTTCCAGAATTAATTTCCCACGTAGATTGCTCTCATAAGTTGATAAAAGACTAAAAATCTAAAGGCTTCATTTATTTTTTTTTTGGTGATATTTTCAAATATTTTCCCCTTTGATCTCCATGTAATATGTGACCTCAACATGTGGTTTTCACACAGACTGATTTCATATCATTTAGTTTTAATAATCTGCTTACCATTCTTTACTTTCTCTATTTAGTTAAATTTTGCATAGCTTTAAAATAAAATAAAATAATAAACCGATTTCAGGCTTAGGTCTTAAACTTCAAGCAGACGTCCTGCCACCTGAAACGCCTCCCTCTGTTTTGCTGAGAGGTTTTTAATTGAAAAGCACACAATCCCTCGTTCAGTCTAATGAGAGCTCGACCCGGGAACGTCACTCCGGAACATTCCTGAAAGAACAGAAGAAATTCCACACGGACTCAGAGCTCAAAGCCGGCTGATTGGGTTTAATTACGGAGGACAGGCGAGGCGCTGGAGTTCATCTGAATCCGTCTTTGATGAGAAACCTGCGGGAGCCGCTGTAGATGCAGCTGTGAGAGTGTCTGTAGATCCATCCATAGACTATCAGCTGCTAGAAAGTGAGCTCTAGTGTCATGACGCCTGCGTTTTTTGTGTTTGTAAATGTCCTGCAGGTGTTTTGAGTCCGAACATGTCGGCCGAGTCCTCTGGACTCTTCCAGAGTTAAACCGGTTCAACGCGCTTCAGGTCTGCATTTCCTTCCATCCGTAGAATCGTTTCACTGTTGTTAGTGCAGAAATGCCACTAGATGGTCAGTTTAATGAATGTTTGTGTGACCGGTTTGTATTTCTGCCCTGTCTTGTGTTTTTGTGTCATTGTGGTGCTCCTGCTCTGAGTTTATGGTTTATTTTGTTGTTCCCCGTTGTTGCTTCAGGGCCAACACAGTACTAAAATCACCATAAAAAGTCACTTATAAATGTCTGAACTGCATTTATTTGGTCAGAAATACAGTAAAAATTGTGAAATATTATTACGGTTTAAAACAGCTGTTTTCTATGTGAATATGTGTTAAACTGTAATTTATTTCTGTGATGCGCAGCTGTATTTTCAGCATCATTACTCCAGTCTTCAGTGTCACATGATCTTCAGAAATCATTCTAATGATTCAAGAAACATTTCTGATTATTATCAATGTTGGAAACAGTTGCTGCACAATATTTTTGTGGAAACAGTGATGCATTTTATTTTTCAGGATGAATAGAAAGTTCAAAAGAACAGCATTTATTTGAAATAGAAATCTTTTATAACATTATAAATGTCTTTACTGGCACTTTTGATCTATTTAATGTAAGTATTAATTTCTTAAAATAAAAACAAATCATACTGACCCCAAACTTTTGAACGTTACTGTAATTAGTGATCATATTTAGTAAAAATATTCATATATTTGTCATAAATATTAATTATATAATTTAGTATTATTACACAATTTTTATATGTATTTTGCATAATTCATATTTGAAATATTGCATTGAAAATCAATTTAATGCATCTTTGCTGAATAAATATATTATTTCCTGTCAAATTAGACTTTTGAATGGTAGTTCATATTGCATTCAGAATTTGAGATTTAACTACCAAAAATGTCTTGAGTTTAATTGTAGTGAATTTTAATTTTATGATAGCACTAGTTAAAATATAACAATCCCATTGTAGAAAGTCTGATCGGATTGTGTATTATTTGCATTTACAAGTGCAATAAAATGCTGTTAACTATTAAAAATCAGCGCTGTTGAAATGTAAATAAACACGCTCATATTTAATAAAATGATTGAAAACTGCTACAGGCATTTATATGCAACATGAAAACGAGGTAATGCGTAATTATGAGGTAATGTGGGTCAGTTAAACTGTTTTTACCAATAATCGCTGTGAGATCGTGCATGTAAATGCATTCAGAGCATGTTGAGTTTATATGGCCTGTCGATGGTTCGTCGTGTTGTTTTCCCGCTGCATGTCATCTGTTGTCTTGCACGTGTCCGTCTGTCTGCATCTCACAGGTGTGTGTTTGCCTGCACTGTTTTCAGTGTGTGTGTTTGTGTGTTTCTCCTTCAGCCCCGACACGAGTACTTTAACGTGCCCGTGTACTGATTGGCTGCATGCTAAGCCCCTCCCCCTGCACGCCTGCTGGCTCCGCCTCTGTTTCCAGCACCATCCAATCAGAGAGCTGCATCTTGGACCCAGTTTCACCTGCACACTCGTCGTGTCTCGTTCATGTTTGACCGTGTGTGTGTTTAACTGTGCACTGGAGCCTCATCTGAAGTGATCTTATCCCTGTATCTCGTTCAGGCGACTCTCATTCATGTAGCGTCAGGAAATCAAACCCCGAATAGACTTTTCAAATTCAATGCATAATTCATTCAAACTGTAGAGATCCAGGTTATAAAGATAAAAGTAGACTTTCAGTCTTTGTTTCAGAGCAGAAATCACATCTTCCTTAGGTTTTCCAATTAACAACTTCTTATAAAACAAAATCACTTACGATAGAGTGTCTGAAAACAGGATGTTTAATTTTATGCAGTTTTGATTCTCAAGTAACTTAAAGGATTAGTTCACTTCCAGAATAAAAATTCCTGATCATTTACTCTCCCCCGTGTCCTCCAAGATGTTCATGTCTTTCTGTCTTCAGTCGCAAAGAAATGAAGGTTTTTGAGGAAAACATTCCAGGATTGTTCTCCATATAATGGACTTCAATGGGGATCAGCGGGTTGAAGGTCCAAATTGCAGTTTCAGTGCAGCTTCAACGAGCTCTACACGATCCCAGCCGAGGAATAAGGCTCTTATCTAGCCAAATCATCAGGCATTTTCTTAAAAAATAAACATTTATATACTTTTTAACCTCAAAAGCTGGTCTTGCACTAGCTGGACTTCACGCATGACGTAATCACGTTGGAAAGGTCGCGCGTGACTAGGGTTGGGTATCGAAAACCGGTTCCATTTTAGAACCGGTTCCAAATTTCCAAGAACCGGGTATTCGATAAGACGCGTGCATTTAGATTCTGCTTAACGATTCCTGAGTTCGCATTTTAATGTGATTAAAAAAAACGATTTAAGTGCAGGAACGGAAAGAACTTGCGCCCTGTTTGCGTGCAGCGCACACGAAGCGCAAGCGCGAGCACAGAGAACAGAGGTTGCGGTACAGGTTCCCGGTTTGTGTCCGTTCTCGAACCGTTCCGTGTATTTCCACTGTAGAAAAGGTTGTTCTGGGCCGAAACTGACTTCTTTCATATTTGTCGACCAATATGCAAAAAACTACGTCAGTATATCATCATAACACAGCCGTTTTTGTCTTACGTGAACGTAAACAGATGAGAAAGAAA